TTGAACTCTCCAAGCCGCGAACTGGGGCGAATGCACGCCGGGCGAGGGCTGAACGACCGCTAGAGCGATCTCAAACTTCCAGGGTCAGATCTGATCGCAAAGAGGGGCCAAATTCGAGCCGAACCAGTAAAGCTGCTTGAACCGGTCGATTCATCATTTGACTATTGAGGGTAATTGTAGTTTGTACCGGCCGAATTACGGGTTGACTATAGAAACACAAAGCTGACTGATTCAACTGTTTTGACGATTGACTAAGAAGATTCATTGTTGTCTGAACCTGTTAATTTACCAGCCGGTTGATGGAAACCGTTGGCAGTGTGAAGCTGTAAAACAAAGAAGAAAGAGAATAGAAAAATAGGTAGCGAGACAGGGTGTCTCCTACCAAGTTCCCTGCCGTTCGTTGAGGACCTCGGAAGCGGGCACGGCGAGTGATAGGCGCTGCTACCCCTGGCTTCAACGAGCAGTAGGCGACCCCTCCCCGGGTTTCCTCACAACGTGTGTTTGCTCCCTCTCTCATGTCAAGAAGGATTGATTGAGGGTTGCGCGAATGATTTATGTCTCTAATGACGTCTCTGGGATATTTGTGATCCATTGATATGTGGACTGACAAACATCGTTCGATTGGGCGCCAACCTCCCGTATCTCCCATCCCAACGCGACCTTTTCCCTATAACGAGGAAATGACACATGTATGTGAGTGGGATGTACGAGAAGTTGTCGCACGAATCGGCTGACAATACTTCTTCCCTCCCGAAAATCGTTGTTCTGGATTCGTAGATGCGGACTTTGTCATTATTGATACACATTTCCCACCCTACTCGATATTGCTCCCCTTTAACGAATTGATCGTCATTCCGTGGGTGGCAGTGGCGCCTCATTGGCTTCGAACCTTGTGCACTGAGTGCCAGCGTTTCGATCGCTATGAATCGAAAGGCTTCCTCTACCGAATACGGGGTGAGGACGAGCATAAGGAAAGAGCCACTCGGTTGAGACCATCTACGTCAGACTCGGAACTAACCAGCGAACGACGACGAGATCTGATACAGAAACGAGACATGCGAAGCGTGCCGGAGCCTTTCCGTTCCAAGCGACGGGTTGTAGCCCGGTGGGAAGCCCGACAATACTTTTTGGATTGAATTTGTATCTCTCTGTTTTCACGCCATGTCCGCACGCGCGTTCCGCGACGCGCGAAAATAATCGACTAGCTCCATCGGACCAACACGGGGGATTTCACTTCCATCTGTGTCCCCACACTCAATTTCCAAAAATCCTTGGCACACCCCATCTTGCTGTTTTTCGGGGCCAACACTCTGAACGAAAGACAGCACAGGGCGTGAGGTTGCGCGTCACACTATAGCCTGTCCAATGGGGCCAATTTCACAAGTGAGAGTCATGCAACGCTGCACGGAGGAGGGGGACTGGTCCTGCACATTATGGGCGATTGGGACACCTGTTAAAAATCTTAAGTTTATTCCTGCGATGTGGAGGCGGCAAAACCCCGAGAGATGGGTCTCGGATTACACCTCAAGACATGGATACACCCAGCTACAAACAACGAATCCACCAGTGGTGGCAGCCACAGAAAGATGGGTCAGAATCGTGCAAGAGATGCAAATGGCCATTCGAGTCCACTATGCATCTCTGGTTTGCTTGCCCTCTGTCCCGAAGAGTATGGTTATGGTGGATTGATCACCGGAACAAGATATGTGGGAATCGTTTTGCTTGGGATGAGAACTGGATTCTTTTCGGAGTCACTGTCATCCAATCCCAGGACAACAAAGAGTGGGGCTATGTAGCGGTGGTCATTCGAGCGGTCATTTTCCAGATCATATGGGAGGAACGGAACACGGTGCTATTTCGAGAGAAATTCCTGTCTGACCAGGCCATTAAGGCAAATATCAAGCATAATATTGTGCTTGCAATCAAGGGCGACCGGTCTAGGAAGGTATCCAGAGCCAGGAATAAGAGTAGTGGAGTGCGATGGTTTTAAGGAAGTTGGGCCAGAAATGGGCGGTTAGCGTCAATAGGAGGCGGCAAGCTACAGGTTTCGAAGTGGCTGTTTGCGATTTAGGAACGACCTGAACACTCGGTCTTTACTTCCACAGTAGGAAGGCAGAAGTCGGAAGGTAAGAGGGGCTGGAGGGAGTGTTATACGGAGTCCGGTTCATCTTAGGTCCACAGTCCCGAGAATAGAGTCTGGAAAAGAGCGACCTGAACGCTCGGTCGTAAATTCCACAGTAGGAAGGCCGAAGTTGGAAGGCAAGAGGGGATGGAGGGAGCGTTACTTAGAACCTGGACCTCTCCGAGGTCCACAGTCCCGAAAATAGGGACTGGATAGGCAGAAATTGGTAGTTTAATAGTAGTTGTAGCCTACTGGAGGTACTCCCCGGTCCATTATAGATCTGGATCAAGAGGCGACTGTAGATTAGTAGGTTAAAGTGAAGTATAGTTGATTTAGCAGTGCTTACAATAGTGTTAGTATGGTTTTGTGATAGGATTGTAGTTTAGGCAGAATAGGCCCGCAGTTTTGTTATAGGTTTGTAGCTAGGCGGAATAGGCCCACCCCACACATGTTATCAGTTGACTACCTATAGGATTTTGTTAGCCAGATAGATATATAGTAGAACCCTCTGTAGGACTAGATAGAGTAGGCGGTAGCCCTAGGAATTATGCAGCCAACGAGCTGCTGGGTCTGTAGGAAAGACCTGCAGGGTTTTAGCCTGTAAGCTAAGCTGGATGATGCTTCCAGATATCTGATCTGAACTGGGAAGTAATGTAGAGGACCCCTGCCTCTGAATGATTTTATGTAATTGAAACTGAATTTTGAGGAAAAAATAATAAAAATAAAAAATAAAAATCTTTCATCGTCTTTCAAATTCTTTCAATTCACCTTCACTACCTACCGACCACTACTCCTAAGGCTCATACAGGGGACCCCTGCGAACATAGCTTTGTTGTCTCCCTCCAGCCATCAGAGGGGTTGCATGTTGCCTCCTGCCCCAAATTGTGGTCAAGGATGGGGTGGGGCCGGCGCCGAGCATTCGTCTTCTTCTGCTGAAATGGGCAACGGTCTTCCCCCCCTCTTCCCCCCCCCCTCTTAATTCTTTCTCAAGAAGTCCAGGGTGTTGTAGAGGCCAGTACTACCCCTCTTCACCCGAATACAACGTACAGCCATTATAGCTGTACTTGGGGCAATCTCAGTCTAGATACAACAATAATGACCGCACCTTGTATTCAGGTGAAGGCGATAGGTCCACAACGGTCTTTTTTTTTTTTTTCAAGTCCACAACAGTCTTGAGATGCCATATTCGGACTGAAGGTAAACTCACGCCACACGGCACACGGAACGAAAACGAAACGAGTGCATCTACCCACGAAAGGTGGCAAAATACACTCGTTACTATTTATAGCAAACTGATGAACCTGCCATTTTCTAGCAGAAGATGCACTCGTTTCGTGTGCCGTGCGGCGACGCTCTTACAGCTCGTGTCAATTCGATTCGAACCTGGGTCGGCGCTTCGACAGTATAGTGCATCGCTCCACTGCACAAGACTCTACATGCATTTGGACGCTCCGTGGACTCCATACACTCAAAATGTTGGACTCGGCTGAACGCACCTGTTCCGAAATGTGTACAGATGCATGTAGAATGTTGCGTAGTTGACCGAGGCACATATCCATGAACTTTGTACCACAGCTGAGCTAGGGAGAGAGAAGGGTTAAATTAGGAAAAAGTCATTAAATGTAAGAAAAGAGAGAACAGTTGGTGTATAGAGTATAAGAGTAATGGCTAGGCGGGGGCTAGCTGGTTTTTCTGGGGTAAGGGTGACTGTCTATCTTACTCTCTCCTCCCCCCGCACTTGGCTTTAAAATCTCCAATTGTAGGATCAGTAGACAAAGCGAACTGGGGTAATGCTCCCTAATTTCCGGTCTTTATGTGGGGTGGCCGGCCCCGATTGAATTTGTTGCTAATGAGTACCAATGTGAATTTCCCTTTAAAAAAAAAAAAAAAAAAAAAAGAGGAAGCCTCACTCCACTCCGCAATACTCTACATGCATTTGGTCGCTTCCTGGGCATATATTATTCAGAATTATGAACTCCTCCGAATGCATGTGGTCGTTAAAGCTTCCACATGCATAGAGAGCGATGTGCAGTGGAACCAGGCCCTAGGACTTTCCGACCGCAGACTTCGCTGTAACGGCCTCTGCCGTCACGAGGGAAATGCGACGGAAGCTCGGGGCCAAGGTCCCACTTGCACGGATTAAGAGATTCTGGCCGTTCATCCTTGCTATCTACGGTCAATGTCGCTTAAAATAATTCGTGTAAGTGCGACCTAGCCCCGGCATTGGGCGTCGCTGCACTACTTTTTTTTTTTTTTTGATCAAACTCAATGTATTATGAAGGACCTCACAATGTATCTGGCAGCAAAAGCCAGCTTAGCCTGCGAGTTATGCCATTGGCAAGCTCCATCCAAAAATGTGCCAAATGAGAAAACAAATAAGAAAAATGTGCAAAATGAGAACGAATATTCCGCTAGAACTAGTAAGATACACCGCGAAAAAAAAACAAAAAAAACAAAAAAACAAAACAAAAGAAAGATACACCGCCACAGTTTTTGTCTTTTGTGCATGTGGAGACTGCAGCCAGGCCCATTTTTCCTTTTTTTTGCACGTCATTTGTCTGTCTGTTTTTTGGGACGTTCACCGCGGCGGCTTTTTGCAATGACGCGCCTGTTTTTCGATGAAAGTTCGCGCGGGAATTATGGTCCAGGCGGGAGGATGACGTCTGCCGTAATTTCCGCGATGGTCCGCAGCTGTCGGGAAGCAACTGACTGCAGAGAGCGGGTGAGAGAGAACTCTACAAGACTACAACAGCTGACCGCGGTACAATAGACATGCGGTGACCAGGCAAGGTTATGCAACTAACTGCCTGGGTGGAACCTTGTGGAGGAGCACGCAGAATAAAGCACTGCTCAAGACGAGATCTTCGCACAGTACGACGGGCGAGGAGGAGGAATCGCGGAGGCAACGGTGCTGTTCGCAAAACTTTTCGGTAAGTGGAGGGCACACGCGGAATCTGCTTGAGAGAGAGAGAGAGAGAGAGAGAGAGAGAGAGAGAGAGAGCTGTTGAGATCGAGCGAGCGAGCGAGCGAGAGAGAGAGAGAGAGAGACACAGAGAAAGACAGAGAGACACAGAGAGCTGTTGAGTCATGTTTGAGCTTGTCCATTTTAAGCCGACAATGAGTTCGCAAGAAGTGTTTTTTTCCTCTTTGCTTTTAATGTGTTTCATCTGTATTATTTCAATTTCAATGGGACGCAAGAAGTGTTTCCTGGAATTGTAGGTCCTAGTTCGTCCTAGTTGCACCTTTCGCCATCCTTGAAGGTTTTGAATGCATCTGGACAGAATCCCTTGTCCAGATGTACTGAAAGATGTTGCCGGTTGGCGAGTGGCGCAACAAGGTCCGTAATCTAGCTTATGTCGTTGATGTCGAACTTGACGATTTGTTGATGCCATTTTTTTTGGTCGCTTTTTGTTTCGAAAATTTCGTCTTTCCAATTTGCAATCTCGTTCGGTGTTCTTTGTTTGGGATTTTTTTTTAAATCCCTGCTTTCTTCTCTTTATTTTCTGCCTTCCTTTCCTAGTCCGATCTACAGTCGTTGCGTGTCTTTCCAATTTGCAATCTTGTTATGCTCAAATCCTGTCCTTTTTTCTAGTCCGATCTACAGCCGGTGTTCTTTGTTTGGATTTTCTTTTTAAAATCCCTGCTTTCTTCTCTCTATTTTTTCCCTTCCTTTCCTTCTTTTAAAGGGTGGGTTAAGATCTCATAATTGAACTGACCAGTGTCAGTTAATTCCCTGCGCAAGGATGACACGCATAAATCGAGAAATGGTGATTTCAGAGTGATTTTGTTCTGTTCATCTGATAGGATCCCCCAAAAAAAAAGAAAAGATAATAAAAGGATCCGAACTTGAATTGTTCGTTTTTTTCCCCTTTTTAATTGCTGGCTTGAAATATCGGCGACAATCTATGCTCAATCGTTCCTTCCCCCCCCTCTCCCCCTCGCCCCTCCTCTTTTTATTGTTGGCTTGAAACATCGGCGACAGGCCCTCGATTCCACTTGCGGAGAAAAATAAGGGATGGTGCCAAAAAGGAAAAAAAGGGGTGATTGCTTTCTCCTGCTGGTGTCGTCAACAGTCCGAGTTGTTACGTGTATGTAATGAAGTCGGGGTCTCAGACGGGATCTTGCCGCGATCCGGATCCAGTCTATTATCGGCCCTGGCGATGATTTTTAAGTGTGCGCGTTTTTTTCTCGTGCGTATTTGAAGGCTAGGGGACGTTTCTTTTTTTTTATTGTGCGTATTTGAAGGCTATGGTATTGGACGTTTTTTTTCGTTTTCTTTTTCGTTTTGTGTGTGGAAAAGTGGAAACCTGCCTTTGGGTGGTAGGGCTCACGCTCTTGTATTCGGAACAAAACAGGCAGGGAAGATCCGCATCGCCCTGTGTAAAACTGATAAGAACAGAGATAGGGGCCTCGCTCCACTGCCTCACCAAATGCGCAAAAGACAAAAGATATGGCGGTGTATCTTCCCATGTTCTAGCGGAAGATTCATTCTCATTTTGCATATTTGGTCCGTAATGGAACGAAACTCTTAAGTCCGGATTCTCGGATCCTTTGTTTCAGCATAGATGGGAGATGGGACCTCGCTCCACTGCATCACCAGATGCACAAACGACCTAAAATATGTCGGTGTATCTTCCCATGTTTTAGCGGAACATTCATGCTCTGCTCATTTTTGCTCATGTGGCGAGTAGTCGAACGAGGGCTTGGCAATGGGGATGCAAACTGATTCTGTTAATATTTCCAGTTATTTTATGCTCTTGGTCGCGTAATTAAGGGTTATTGTGCGACGTGATGAATGAATACTACCTTCTGTTGGGAGATGGAAGTACGGTTAAGAGCTTCTCCATCTCCTCCTATACTTGTTTGGTTTTGTTGTCTTTTTTTTTTTTTTTTTTTTTTTTCAATGAAGTCGTAATTACTGTCGGTGTTCCCTCAACATCTCAACCCGGTAGTGATGTTGAGGCCGCTGGGAGATGGAAGTGCGGTTGAGATGTTGAGGCCGGGAATCCCTCAACATCTCAACCCGGTAGTGATGCGGAGTTGTAATTACTGTTGAGGAGTGCATGTGCCAGAGGCAGTCTATAGGCCCTGTTTTCTCACTATATCTTATCCACTTCTTTTTTTTCAATAAAGAAAATCTGGAACACTTCTCGATTTATGCGTTTCATCCTTGTGCAGGGACCATGGGAATCTTCCTTCTCTGTTTCGGTCAGATTTGAACGGATGTCCCGAAGGACCACTTTTTTTTTTTTTTTTTTTAATCCACTTTTTCGTATCCCAGCCAATTACAGACTAGGATTGGAGAGCGGGATTCGTTATCAGGAGCAGGATGAGCAGCAGCAGCGGTGTTCTTCCCCGTCCATAATCGTCTTCGTTTTCTTTCTTATGTCTATATCGTTCTCTCGACTTCTCCGGCTTCTCTGCTTTCTTCGCTCCCTCCGTTGATTGGCCAGATTTGCGACGGGATCTCATTCGGGGAGGGAGAGGTGGTTGCAAAAGTTGCGACGGGATCCCGTTCAGACCGCCCCCTGCTTCGTCTCTGCCTCCTCCATCTTCTCCGCCATGGCCGACTTCTCTGCTTTCTTCGTTCTCTTCGATGCTTGGACAGATTTGCAAGAGGAGGGGTAGGGTGGTAATTTTCGTTCGACTACGATTTAGTATTAAATTAATAAAGTAATCCATTCGAATATTTATCAATATTTATATTTGAATTAATTAGGTCGTTGCCAATCACACCCTACTACCGTCTTCGCTCGAACACAACGCTTTTTTTTTTTTTTTTTTTGCCTTCTTAATCTGAGGGGTCAAGGTTGAGGTCCTTCTTTTTTTCGCCGTCTTGTCGCTTTTTTTTTTTTTTTGCCTTCTTAATCTGAGGGGTCAAGGTTGAGGTCCTTTTTTTTTTCGCCGTCTTGATTTGAGAGGTAAACTCTGAACCTTCTCTATACATCCGCTTTTCTTTTTTTGGC